CAATATTGTCCTGAACCATTTGTTGTCAAGACCAGTCCCATGGAAGCCTATCAGAGCACTGCAGAGTGAAAAACTCCTGCCCTCACACCAACAGAGTCCCCATGCCACCAGACAAAGTTACCCCATACATAGGGCCTGCCTGGAGTGGGACCTAAATAGTACATGTGTGTCTGTTTTTGACTGTATGTAATACGGCTGAAAGAAAGCCATATGCTATCACAGCATGCAAGTCACCTGCCATCCTTGTCTTCATCCATTTATCAAATATTAATAATGATGATAATGTTATTATTTATACCCTGCCCATCTGGTTGGGTTTCCCCAGCCACTCTGGGCGGCTTACAGAATATCTAAAAACATAATAAAAACACCAAGCATTAAAAACCTCCTGATACAGGGCTGCCTTCAGATGTCTTCTAAAAGTTGTGCAATTATTTATCTCCTTGACATCTGAAGGGAGGACGCCATTACCCAGAAAGCCCTAAAACATATATTGCATGCATCATGTCACTAATAATTAGTCTACAGCATATCATTTTGGATGATTGGCTGCCTGACTTGTAAAGTACACATCCAAACTATTATCATTCCACAAATGCTAGCAAATACTGATGTCTATGTTCAGGGTTGCTGGTTTTTGTAAACAATCGTGCAATTGTTTTTAACTGTTACCTTGTATGGTGGGGTCACCGGATCATGGAATTTAAAGATGTTTAATGCTTATGCCAAAGATCTGACAAATAACTCTACTTCCTATATTGATTTTTAAAAATGGACTAATGGCAAATCTCTTTCCTCAATCCAATTTGAAATCCAGGTAAGGGCTGAGTACACCAAACTTTAAAGTCTACTAGCATTCAGCTGCCCTTAAAAGCAGATTCAAAGCTCCAGGAGCCTTCTTGGAGCTCACAGTTTAATCTGCTGCATTACGAACTTCTCTCTCACCTTGAGCTGCCGCCGTACATCATCAGCCAGGTTGGAACTGCTGTCAGGTTTCAGAGGAGTCTGCACAGCCATCATTTTGGACCTTGTAGGTATATGTTGAAAGGTTTGATTAGGTCTGTGCTCAAATTTCTTTGTTTTGTTCACGAACTATAGCCTGAATCAGATGCTACCCAGGTGTTTCTGGTTGGCAGGAACATTGTAAATTAGCTTTGCTGCTGCCTGAAGAAGAGGGTGCTGGTGAGGGGAGTAGCCGGGACTGGGACACACCGGGGCAAGCAGGGAATGGGGGAGGAAGTACTCACAGAGTGATGGAGGATGCTGAGGGAATGGGGGGGGGGGTGTCAGTGCACTGGGACCACAGCAGCAGGAGCCATCACCAGAGAGAGGGTTCCCTGTCCCTACAAAGCATATTCTCACTAAAGAAGAGCACGTGTTGTGGATGGGGCCAGGCAAAGCACCCCCTAGTTGCCAGGCAGGATAGATTGAAGGGGCCTGGCTTGGATTGGTGGTTGGTGTTGCTGGGGTAAATTTGATGTTGCCAATTTGGGGGTGGGAACCGAGGTTATTTAAACAAGGTTCACAGCAAGCTGCTTTCTCTTTCGCTGTGGGCACCGGATCACCCGCCCGCCCTTCCTTGTTTGTTTGTTTGTTTGTTTTTTAAATGATATTTATTCCAAGTTTAAAGTTACAAAAAAACCCAGAAAAAACAGTACAAAATACAAAAATAAATTTAACCATAGCCATAACAGAGCAAAGAGTGAAAAGAAAAAAAAGACAATAAAATAGGATAAAAAAACAGAACAAAAGATATAAAAAAGCGTTGAATTAAAATAGAGCAAAAGCAAATTAAACCTTTACATAACTTTTTCCCTTTACTTATTTCCTTGACCTCCACCTTGTTTGGGCTTGTTCTTTGACCTTGCTATGCCTGTCATGGGGTCGTCCGCCTTAGTGCGGGGGCCTGGTAGGAATTTTTCCATTTGGCTGATTAGTGTGTGCCATTTGGTTTTTGCCTACTGCGTAGCAAATCGTCACAACTTGTAAGGTTGGCGGTTAGGCATTGGTTTAAATTGGTTGGTGGAGGGGTATGGATTGGCTGTGCCTGCCCCACCAATGCTGCTGCTGCATGGGAATTCCATTAAAGGAATTCAGGGGCTTACCATCCTTTTGTCCAAACCCCTGGAATTGGGTTCAGGCCGCGTAAGCCCCTGGGAGCATGCGGGGAGAAGCTGAGGGTCTGTGTCGCAGCTCCAGTTATCCCTGATCTTGTTCCTCCACACTGGCTTTCGCTGGAATCCGGGAGTCAGTGCTGTCCCCCAAGGTGGGGGGGGGGGACAGATAGTCATAGCCAATGCCTAAGCAACCACTCACAATTTGTATGTTTAATAAAGTTGTGACCAAAATTATGCCAAAAACCTTAAACAAAAATTTATGAGTGATGTGTGAGTTATTGGGGTAGGGGTGTTTTGGGGGACCTCAGCACGCAAACATGGCAGGCTCTGAATCATAGGGAGCAGTAGTCTCTTGCAACAACCTGTTTTTTGTTGTCTGATATAGATAGGTATATATCCTTTAGAACATCCAAATTTCTTGCCAAGGCTTTACAAATTTGCGTAATAAAACTTAAAGAGGGAGTGGGGAATGATTCATCCCTTAAAGGTCGGGCAGTAGAAAGGCAAACCACTATTATTGGCAGTATTCTTGTTACTATTTTTATGTGTGCAACGGCTGCTGGCAAAACTGAAACTGAGGGAATTGCAGGAGTGGTGCTCTAGGAGGCTGAAGCAGGCAAAAGGCCCACAGCCCAGCTCCCTAGCTGGCCAGGTGGGGCTCGCTAGCTCTGAGAGGAGGGGTGTGATTCCTCAGATGGAGTAGGCTTGGAACAGGTGAGGGTCACCTGCCTCGTCAAGCCCAGATGCTGCAATCAGCAGTCAAAAGGGAAGCAGAGCTGAGGTGCTGTGTCTGCTCAACTGCCCATGTTGCTACTGGACTGTGTTTTGGGTTTGACTCTGGACTGTTTTCTGACTGCTGAACTTCAGGCTTGGCTTACTTGGCTTGACCCTGGACTGTGCTTCCTGACATTTGGACTTGGCGTGTGTGGCTTGACCTCTGGATGTGGACTTTGGACTGGACATGCTGACTTGCTGCCAGGTAGGCCAGGGGTTCAGGGCACCTGAGAGCCATAGATCAGTGGCAATCCTTTGCCTTCAGAATGTCCCAAATTCAATTCCTGAAATTTCTAAGGAGGGCTGTGAAGGACTCATGACTGAAACACCCCCAGTGTAGATACTGTAGTACTGAGCTAGAAACCTAGAAAACACCCATCCATCTTGGTCAGTATGGTCTATATTGACTGACTACAGTTCTTCAGAGTTTCAGGAAGTCTCTCCCAGGCCTACTTGAAAACACCAAGGATTAAGTTGGGCCTGACTGCATGCAAAGGAGATTCACTGCCACTGCACTACAGGCCTTACAGCTTTATTTGTTAAAAGACAGCTTTTAACAGATGCTAAGTTCCAGATTTGATAATTATAACTCACTTTTCACGGTGTTACCTTTGAAGAGCATCTGGAAACTACAATTGGCTCAGAATTCAATGGTCAGGTTGGTAACTGATCTGGGCAGTAGCTAGCGTATAACTCCAATATTATTCCATATTCTCCGGTTGGCTATTAGTTACTGAGACTAATTTAAAGAGCCTTCTATGGTACTGACTTTTACATCCCTAAATAGACAGAGTCTAGGACATCTGAGCTACTTTCTCTTCCCCAAACAACCTCCTTATATGTTCAATTCAGAGTCCCTACCCTGCATTCCTCTGTTATCTGAGGCAGTTGGCTAATCACTAGCCGCAGGGCTTTTTCAGACATGGCCCCTAAGCTGCAGCAAAGCTTTCTTCCATGCTTTCAGGAAGCAATGCAAATCCGGCATTCCCACCAGCAGGCGTTTGGGTTATATATTAGTTGATTTGAGATCCAGCCCTTCCTTTATTGTAGTTTTTGTGGTTTTGTTTTTAATGTTTATTATTTTACTCTTAACACCTTGACGGGTCTTTTGGGCTGGTAAGCAGGATGAAAATATTCCAAATAAACAAATTAACCCTAATTTGAGAGTTGAAGGAGCCCTTCTGCAAACAAAACCTGGCAGGCAACTGTTGTTATATTTACCTTGAACGAGGTCCAGCTGCCTTTAGGAAATAATGCTTTCCTCCTGGCAAGCTGTTTCTGTAGCTTCAAATAACAGACCCACACCAGGCTTTCAATAAGCAATGTATAGTGCACACATATTAATTTAGATACATACACCACATTTATGCTGCTGTTGACATGCAAAATGGGTGGTGTTTACCTGGGAGCAAGCTCCATGGGACTTACTTTTGGCAAAAAGTGTAGGAGAAATAATCACATTAGAATCATAGAGTTGAAAGAGACCCTCAAGGGTAATCTAGTCCAACCCACTGCAATGAAGGAATATCTTGCCCAGTGTGAGGCTCGAACCCATGACCCTAAGAGTCTCATGCTCTAGCAACTGAGCTATACTAGATGCTTAAGCCATATACAGTAGTACTTCTGGTTAAGAACTTAATTCGTTCCAGAGGTCCGTTCTTAACCTGAAACTGTTCTTAACCTGAGGTACCACTTTAGCTAATGGGGCCTCGTACTGCCACCGCGCAATTTCTGTTCTCATCCTGAGGTAAAGTTCTTAACCTGAGGTACTACTTCCAGGTTAGCGGAGTCTGTTACCCGAAGCATTTGTAACCTGAGGTACCACTGTACACACACACACACACACACACACACCCCACACACAAACACACACATACACACACAGTGGTACCTCAGGTTACATACGCTTCAGGTTACAGAGTCCGCTAACCCAGAAATAGTGCCTCAGGTTAAGAACTTTGTTTCAGGATGAGAACAGAAATCACGCGGCGGCGGCGGCGGCGGCAGGAGGTCCCATTAGTTAAAGTGGTGCTTCAGGTTAAGAACAGTTTCAGGTTAAGAACGGACCTCCAGAACAAATTAAGTTCTTAAGTTCTTAACCTGAGGTACCACTGTGTGTGTGTGTGTGTGTGTGTGTGTGTGTGTGTGTATACACACACACACACATATATACACACACGCCTCAAGGTGTTCCAGTAACTAAATTCAGGTTTACCGAATTGTTACGTCATCTGCATGCCAGTGGATGCTTTTACAACCTGGCCTTGCAAGACTTTGTGAAGGTTTTAATTCCTTTACTTTCTTTTGTTTTGAGACTTGCAGATTGGACTCCCCCCACCCCCCACAAGAAAAACCCTCTTTGATGCCATTTATTATTCTGTTGCATTTTGTTCTTTCTGACTGCAACATTTAACTCTAGAGCAGCATTTCTTTCCAATCAAAAAAGCCATTTAAAAGTACACTGGGTTACATAGGCGAATTAATTGCTACAATTAAATGGCTGTACGTGTTACCTGGTGATTTTTTTTAAATAAAAAAAACTCTCCCCATACTTTCCCCACTCTCTTTCATCCAAGAGCACAGAAAAGCAAGAAGTCAATTGCTCGCTACTTGCTCTGCCCAAAATGATCCGTTTTGACAAACAGATAATGAATTAGTTGCAGGCCAAAGTCTGCGATTAGCAGAAGAGGATCTTGCAAATAGTCAAAGTGGAAGGAAGCCCTTAGGGCTAACTTACACTTTGCATTTTTAACTCTGGTACAAAAGTACCCAATGTAAATGGCAAAACAGAGGTGTAGCAACTTATTTATAATTGCCTGAGATCACCAAGGCTGAGAGGCTGTGACTGGCCCAAGGTCACCCACTTGCCTTCATGGCTGATCAGAGATTTGAACCCTGGTCTTCTAAGTCCCCGTCCAACATCCTGACTGCTTCACTGCATTCATGCTCATAAGAACACAAGAATGACCCTGCCAGATGCAAAAGTGGGAGGAGCAAGGAATGTGAATATTACCTTTGTACAGTGGGCTGGTTTCTGACACTGACTCACCTGCATTGCTGGGGGTTGGACTAGATGACCCTTGGGAATCCCTAAGATTCACCCGCCGCTCCCTAGCCTCCATTTCAGTAAGCAAGAATTCAGTGACACATTCAAGCCAAGGAGGGTGCAAAACGGGGCTGGGGAGGGGTGTGGCCTAGGTAGAGATGGCATCTCTCTCTCTCTCTCTCTCTCTCTCTCTCTCTCTCTCACTCACACACACACACACACACACACACACACACACACTTAGACAGCCACCCTCTCTCTTCTGCCAGAAGAGCAGTAGAAAGCTTCCTTCCCCATCTCAGTGGTTTCTGTTTTTGGTGTTGCTATATTTTGTTGTTTGGATCGTTCCATAGTTTTAAATAATAATAATAATTTATTATTTATACCCTGCCCATCTGGCTGAGTTTCCCCAGCCACTCTGGGCGGCTCCCAATCGAGTATTAAAAACAATACAGCATTAACTATTTAAAACTTCTCTAAACAGGGCTGCCTTCAGATGTCTTTTAAAAATAAGACAGCTGCTTATTTCCTTGACATCTGCTGGGAGGGCGTTCCACAGGGCAGGCGCCACTACCGAGAAGGCCCTCTGTCTGGTTCCCTGTAACCTCACTTCTCACAATGAGGGAACCACCAGAAGGCCCTTGGAGCTGGACCTCAGTGTCCTGGCAGAACAATGGGGGTGGAGACTCTCCTTCAGGTATACTGGGCCGAGGCTGTTTAGGGCTTTAAAGGTCAGCACCAACACTTTGAATTGTGCTCGGAAACATACTGGGAGCCAATGCAGATCTCTCAGGACCGGTCTTATATGGTCCCGGTGGCCGCTCCCAGTCAACAGTCTAGCTGCCACATTCTGGATTAGTTGTAGTTTCGAGGTCACCTTCAAAGATAGCCCCACGTGGAGTGCATTGCAGAAGTCCAAGAGGTAGTTTTGTATTTGATGAACGCATGACTTGGTTTTCATGTTGAAGCCACCTCATCTTGTGAATTTTTCTACTAAATTGTAATGCAGGATATAAATATCTTAAGCAAGCAGAGAGAGAAATGGTGACATCAAAGCAAACCAGCGAGTGCTGTCAAATTACTTTTTTTAAAAACCCCCAAACCCTACAGGCATTGTGTTGATTGTTACCTGCGTTTTTGATGGCTGGTGTCCTCAAAACCGGATGCTGTTTACAGCTTAGAGTATATTCAGTCTTCATTACCCCCAAATGCTGTTTTCGGATCAAGTTTTCTAGGTAACATTAACAAGCAATTCTCTTGCTACGAAGTAAATTGTACTGAATAATAGATGACATTATATATAGTTTCTTCAAGCTGGTCTTAAAATGTAACTATATGTAACTGGGTTTTTGTTTTCATTACCTCAAGGGAAGGTTATTCAATAGATGCAAAAAATTTTGCTGACATGGCCTAATATCCTTGCGTGTGACCAGGAGACTTTGGGGTGCTGGTAGTGGTAACCTTTCCTTATCCTCTGGAACACTTAATAAAATATTGGCAAGGTCTATATTTTTATTACTTTGCCAGTATATTATTCCCCAGCTGTATGTATTTTCAAGGACCAGAGTTCATATTGGCCACTCTAAATTCAGCTTCAGTTACATTTTTCCTGCAGGTGGCAGAATAACTCCAAAGTAGTTTGAGATGCTCTGTCTGCATCGTAAAGAAAATTTGCATCTCGCAAGTTTAAAGTAACTACTATAGGAGCTATTCGGGTGAATACAAGGTTGCTAAACTTAGCACCTAATTCTGATTGCTCTCTTGCAAATGGGAGGCAACGTTATTTTCTGTCTGGATTTCACAATGCTCAAGCTGAACATCATTTGAATTCTTTAAGGCAAGCAAAGATGTTGTATACCACTGCTCAAAGCACCATGAACATCATGGCTCGTGAAGAACAATATAGAGACATCCAAATTTTGTGTGTATTTCAAATGGAATGGGGGCGGGTGGCGAACCAGCCATACTAAAGTTGCACCAAATCTCAACTGCAGCAGTTTTTTTTAGGAGAATCTGGGTGAGCTGTCTGAAGAAGCGTGAGAGAGAAAAGCAAAAAGAGTTTCGATATGATTAGCAGATGTAGTTTCCAATTTGGAACTAGTGACGGTGCTGGAATATGAAGTTACTTGTCTGGAATATGAAGTTACTTGTACTAGTTGCCTTAAATATGAGATGAGCATTATGACTCCTGAGCTCTTCTCTAGTTTAGATTTTAGTTTGAGGTGGAAAAGAACTTCTACCCACCTGCCTACCTGATTGCTCCTCTAGAGGCAGCAGGTATAAAAGAAAGAAAGGCCTTTTCACTGGCTCGTCTCTCTTGGGACATGGAGAACCACTGCAGCGGCCAAGGCAATCAGGATCCCTGGGAAATATCATTTTCCCAGGGCTCCTGGCACCTATGTTGTTACCAGCACAAAAGGGGAAGAGGCGAGATCTCTTCCATTCTTCTCTTGCTAGAGTAGCAGCCACGTCTATCGGGTAAAAAGAAGGATTGGGTTCTGTTGCATTCCCAATTACATCATTAGGAGCAGGACATGGTTCATATCGGTGGTTGGTCAATCAACAAATTGGCAGGTGTGTGTGTGTTTTAAGTAATGAGGCTTACTGCCCCCAGTTATGAATCAAAGCAGAGAAATGCAAAACTGGTGCAAATTTCATCAGCCAATATAACAAATATATTTGCAGAGTATAAATTAAACATATCAGCAAGAGTTCTAAGTAGGAGTGGACGATACGGACACATTATACCAGTACTTGAATTGTATTCAAAGTACTGGTTTTGACCTGTAAAGCCCTTCATGGCTTGGGATCTGAAGGTTCCCCTCTTCCCCATGTCCTGAGATAATAAACTGAGGTGCTTCTTTGAGTAAGAACAATCTGAGATATGGAGGATAGTTGCAAGGGAGAAGGCCCTCTTCTCTGGTGGTTGGGAATGCCCCTCCCAGAAAGACATGCCGGCTACCTGCTTGAGGAAGCAATCCTACACTCTTGGGAAGAAGGGTAGACTGCAGCAGCCACATCTGTGGGAGGAAAAGAAAGTACACCCCCAGAGGCCTTCTTGTTGCAATGGTAGAAATCTCCTCTGTCATTGCTTCTCAGAGGCTGGGAAGAATTTGTTGGGGATGGTTCCCTAACAAGGGAGACAGACAACCCACCCCTGGAGCTGATGTAGCAATTTTCCTTCTGACTAAAACCATTGGAAGTATTTTTTTAAGTCCAGCAGGGAAGTTGGGAGGAAGGGGGGGGGAAACCCCACCTTTTGTGCCTTGGGTTGTTTCTCTCATGTCTTTTCTGCACTGGGCAAGGAATTTTAATTTTTCCAGGCCTTTAAAAATAATTGAAAATCCTGTCTTGGAACATCTTAATCTTGGCATTTTGCTATGGCTTTTGGATGTGCTCTTAGGTCCACAAGGATGTTTTGTGGCTCTGTTTTATAAGCTCTGTTTGTGGCTAAAATTGTGTGAAGTTCTGCTTTATTTATTTATTTTTAATAGGATTTTTATGCTGCTATTTAAGGAGTGTTTTGATTTGTGGCTATGTCTTAATTGTTGCTGCCCAGAAAACCATGGTTAAGGCGGGGAGGTTGAATGATAAATAAAACAAATAAATAATAATACCCAGAGACTCCAGATAGATATAATGCTAACATTATGGCAGCTAATCTGTTCCTCGTCCATATGTTTTTCTCCCCCACCTGAGGCTTATCTGGCTGTCATCTGTTTATCTCATCCAGTTGTCAATATTCTGTCACTCTCTCACAACATTTCTGTCACATTCTGGAGTGATTAGGAAAACCTCAAGAACAGAAAGTGGGCAGGGACTATGCAAATTAACTACATTAACTACATTGTGCAAAGACAGGAGCAGGTGTGTTTTTTTTTTTGAGCATTAAAAACCTTTGTGTTTTCCCTTTATTTTCACCTGGCCGGAAGTAAATGCTTTGCCTGTTGTCTTGAGTAAAAATGAAAGTGCCAAAAAATATTTGGGAACATTGGTGTAGTGAAATCAAAAGAGGCCTCCACTGTCCAGGATATCACAGAAATGTGTGAGGTCCCTGCACAATGGCTCTGCAAGGTCCATTGCCAGCATACCAGCCCTGCATGAGATTGCTGGCACTTGGAAGCCGCCATTTTATGTTTCCTGAAA